TGTTTTCCAGTGGAGTCTACACGCGTGCTGCTTAAATTGGTAAATAAATATGTACCCATCATAGGCACATTCATATGTAAAAAAGCATTCTTTTTCTGTGGTTAATTGAAGTTCCTTGTCGCGCAGGTGGCCATATCCTTTCTTGGAACTTAACACTCCATGGGCACCTTTGTGGTAATGATTAAAGACATGCCTTTTCTGTTGGCATTCTTGATTCCTTTACAATTTAGATATCCTAAAATGGAGAAGTTGGTTTCAGGTATCTTGGTTTGGCTGCGGTCCACATCCCCTGTTACGGAATATATGCTCTGCTAATCAAAGCAAAGGGCCGACTGTTCTCGAGAATGTTTCCACAGACATTTCTTAGGTCATATTATTGATCTTCCTGCCATTTATGAAAAGGCAAAAAGGCCCAACAGCCCCTAAACTTGCATCAGATTTTAAAGCCGGAACATCAACTTTGGTCCTTTACTTAATGATTGAGTACTATTAAACACATATGACCTTCGTGGTGTTCAATTGCTACTGATGTGGAAACAACCTCTTTGAGCCGAGGGTCTCCTGGAAACAGCCTATCTGTCCCTCGGGGTAGAGGTAAGGTCTGCGTACATATTACCCTCCCTAGACCCCACTTGTGGGATTACACTGGGTTGTTGTTGTTGTTGTTGTTGTGGTGGTGGTGTTCAATTGCTACTGATGTGGACAAAGTTTAATACTTTTTACTACCACATCTTCCACTCATTCATAGTTTTTTGACACTTGTAAATGTGGTCCTACTAATTTTCTCCTATCATTACTTTGTGATATGTGTATTTTGCAGGTCCCATGAATTTTTTAAAATTATTTTCTTCAAAAAAATCTCACCAGTTCTTCTAGATATTTCATCAATATTCCACCTTGTGCATAAAATAGAAATTAAAGCCCACGTTATGCAGCTCGTAATCTCTTAAATTACAGAGAAATAGAGATATACAAGTCGTTAACATAAAAATGATTGGTAGATTCAAAATTGTAAGTAAATATCGCACCACTCAAAATTAGACCGCATCCCTGCCATCAAACCCACCCACTAAAAGGCTGAAATTAGGTCCGCCCATATCCGATCCGACCCGTCTATTTGTCACCCCCTAAAAATAACATTTTATATAAATGCAGGGTAAGACTGCATACAATAGACCCTTGTGGTTTGGCCCTTCTTTGGACTCCGCGTATAACGGGAGCTTAGTGCACCGGGCTATCCTTAGACCATCTCCAACCCAACACCAATCTTGACACCAAACACCATTTTGGTGCAAGATTTGGTGTTTTTTGCTCCAACCCAACACCATTTCTTACACCATTTTGGTGTGTGAATAGTGTTACACCAAATTTGGTGTAACACTATTCATCAACACCATTACTATTCACCGTTATTTTAATATTATCTTTTATCATATAACACTTTTAATTTAACATATTATAATTATATAATTAATTATAATTTTATATAATATCTTTATAATATTAATTTATATTTTAATTTTGGTGTTTAAAATTTATAAATTAATTGTCGTATATTTTATTTTTATATAAAATTTTAATTTTATTTTCTTATGTTATAATTGTATAAAAATATATAACCATCAAAAAAATAAAAAATGCAAAATTGAAATATAATATGTTGTTAATAAATAGCACAATGTTCATTGATTATCATAAAAATAAATATTTAATTCAATAGAGACTGACATAGATTAAATTGAAAATACATTAAATAACATAATGTGATAAGAAAATTACAACAATAATCTAGTACTTTGGAAGGCTGCTTCCAGATCCACCAATATCATTAAAATATTGAGTGTATACTCATTTTGCACTTTATAATGCATTAATAGAGCATTTATGGGAGCAACATACTAATCTTGTAAGTTGAATATTTATGTAAAAATAATACTAAATTTTATGATAATGTAATATTTATTTAATTATATCTCATCAATGATTTTATTTTTATTTGAGTTATACATTACTATGTATAATGCATAATATTTGCTTATAGGTTATATTATTTAAAAATTAAAGGTATAAAATAATTTTATATTAAATAATTATATAAGAAAGAAATATGAATTATATGGAATAAATATATAAACAAACCTTGTTGGCCCTACATCACCCATTTTTTCTCCTCTTGAAATAAAAAAAAAAAATTGAATCGAGAAATTCAGAATGACAACTACCAACCACCGTTTTTTTACTTTTCGGTTGTCGTAAGCTGACAAGAGTGTTGTTGTGACGGTAAATCCCCACTTTCAATCGACAAGCTCTGAGTTCGAGTCTCCCCAAGAGCAAGATGGAAAATTCTTGGAGGAAGTATGCCGGGTTTCTATTTGGAAACAATCTCTCTACCACCCTACGTTAGAGTAAGGTAAGGGGACCCTACGTTAGGGTAAGGTAAGTGGGATTATAACGGGTTGTTGTTGTTGGTTATGGTAAGCTGTATTCAAGATGCCTGTACCCAAATTGAAATTTCCAAAGTAGTAATAAAATGGAAACTCCTCCTCCAATCTCCAATTCCATGGCCTCTCAACTATTCCACTGAGAAAAATTTCAATCCAGTAGCTCAGCTAGTAAACTGCTGGCTGCTACTACTCCCTCTCATATTCTTTTTTTTTTCTTCAACTAATTGATCTGCTCCAAAGAAGATAACAGTGATGTCGGCCAAAGAAAGCTTGGGTTTAGAGTACTGGCTTCAATGGCAAGTTGCCGTGTGTGCTCTAATCTTCATCATCCCTACTACTGTAGCTTTGAGGCTCATCAATAGGCAGCGAAAGGACACAGAGTACCCTACTAAGTCCACTGATCTGTGGGTCCCATGTTGGCGAAATCTCCATCCTCTTTGGCTTCTCTTCTACAGAGCTTTCGCCTTTCTTTCCATGGCTTTCTTGCTTTATCAGACGGTTTCTAACTTAGGCTTCTTCGTCTTCTTCTTCTACACACAGTACTTAATCACCTGCTTTTTCCTAATTCTCTAAATATACTTGTGTATTTATTCATAATTCAGAATATATTCTGCAATTCAATAGAATTTAACTGATCTGATATTCTAATTAATTGCTTAATTTCCAGGTGGACGTTTGCTTTGGTTGGGGTCTATTTTGCTGTACGGACATATATAATAATTTCTCCAATTTCTTGCAGCTCATTATTTAGTGAATACTGTATAATACCAATGAGGTCTGGGGAGGGCAGTGTATACGCATACTTTACCCCTACCCTGGGGCAGAGAGGCTGTTTCCAATACAAACTCGGCATCCCTCCCTCTAAGAACACCCTTCCTTGTTGTTTGGGTGACTCGAACTCACAACCTCTTGGTTGGAAGTGGAGGGTGCTTACCACCAGAGCAACGCTCTCTTGTATATTTAGTGAATACTTACAGAGTTAATATGTTTGCGGTTGATAGCTGACCATAATATGTGCTTGTATTGCAGCTGGGAACCATTATATCGGCGCGGGGATGCTGGTTGTATACAAGAAATCCCCTCTCCCGGTACGGGGGGAGAGAGAAATTTCTTAAAACTGCTGCTGAAGAGAACATCAGCAATGGGGCATCCTGTGAGCAACGACTTGGATTTTGGGAAAACTTAATGCAAATTATTTATCAGGTTAGCGTTAGAAACTGTCAAATTTGGATGTTTTTATGAATTCTCTATCCCTGGAGAGTATACAGTTATGGAAAGTGGTAGTTGGTTGCTATGAAACTTGTATGAATTCCAAAGTTTTGCAAGTTAGAAAGGCAGGATATTTCTTGTGGTTTCATTTTGGTGGATGGACTGAAACAATTTTGTTGGCCTAATTTCAATAACAACTGCTTAATTCAGCCAACCGTTGCAACAAAATAATATAGTATGCTTCCAAAATTATCTGTGATACGGTTCTTCCGACATCACTATTCGGTACCAGGCAAAAGAGAGGCCCACTTTGCATTTAAAGAATAGTATTTCTTTTTTCCAAAATGAAGGAAATGAAGAAGCAAGACAAGTAAATGATAGAGTTCTGTTTTGATGTATAAGCTAATCTTTCACGATAATCCAAATAGCTAAAAGCTGTTTTTAAATTGATCAACTCATATGAGTTTGTAGTTAGAAGTTTGACACAAGTTTTTTCATCTTTTTCTCATAGACTAGTGCAGGTGCTGTAATGTTGACAGATATTGTATTTTGGTGTCTTTTGCTCCCATTTATGACGGGCGAGAACTTTAAGCTGACCCTGGTGAGTCATCTTTATTTGAAATGCTGCAGCATTATATGCATCATGTTTAGCTCTCACTGCATTCCCTTTAGAATGTTACTCTTCCTCTAACCATCTAAAGAAAATCTTTTAGTTCAAGTTTTTATCAAGGGTACGCATTTTTCCATGTCAAAAATTCAGAATATTAGTTTATACGATCAAAGTATCAGTCATTTAACGTGTTCCATCTAGATTATGCACCAAATCATGGTTATTTCTCAAAGGAGCGTGATATCGTCAACTATTACAGAAAGCTCCCATGCATAGAAAATGCAAATAGGGCGTATTGATAGTCCTTTCTACTTCATTAAAACCTCATGCTAACCTTTAAACCAGAAAAAGATGGGGGGAGAAAGGTTGGAAAGAAGGGAGAGAAACAGGTAGGGGACGGGCGAACTCAGCTATGATCATGGTATTTGCATGAGAAAGTTTGGAACTTTAGATGACCACAATGCTTTTGTTCCCTAACATCCTTGAGGAACATCTTTGTTGTCACCTTAGAACCTATGTTGCTCGGACTTTCCAAAAATATCAGTGGCTGCTTGTCGAATCCTTCAAAAATAGTACATTTTTAGAGGATCCGACACGGGTGAGGCGCCATTTTGGAGAGTCTGCGCGACATAGCTTAGAACACAGAGCATAGTTACTAACTAATTGCAAGCTTACCTCCTAACCGTCTAAGAATTTACACTATTGTTGGAAAAATAGCATTTTGCATTCTGAATACCAACTTTTTAATGATTTAGCTCCATAGTTACAAGTTTCTATTTATTTCCTGAAACAACATTATAAAGATGAAATTCCATAGTTCTCATAACATTATCAGACTGTGCAAAACTCAAGTTACAACCTCAAATGTATTGGTCAAAATATAGCTCTAACTCAAAGTAAATGGATGATCCAAAGATGCCTGCCCTTTATTAGGTAACAAGTTGCATTTTCCTTCTAAAATCATACAGAAAAATGGAGCAACAGTAGGTCAATGACTCTTTTTTTGGCAACTACAAATTTTATTAATTACCAAAGCAGCAATACAATTCCATAGCTTAGCCAACACAGCTAGCTATCCAAAGAAACTAAGAAACAAACAAAACCAAATCAGGAACCGTGCTATCTAGCTAGAACATATATTTTTGCAGTACATTATTTTTTCTAGGTGAGGCTCTAATACTGCAAATATATGCAATCTCCCTGGCAATACTTTACCATCCTCTACTTGATTTCTCTAAGACTCTCTTGTTTCTTTCTATCCAAATACTATGCACACATTCAGCATACACCATTCGAAAAATCTGAGAAGCTTGTGATTTCCCTTTGGAATTTCTGATAATCCATGCAAGTGTTGCTTATTGCTCTTAAACGGTGAAGAGAGAGAGGGACCATGATGGTGGACTAAGAATGCATTTCTTTCTGAGCACAAATATGTAATTTTACAAAGTCAAGCAAAGGGAATTCAACTTGCTATTGTAGTTAATACTGAAATCAGCAAATACTCTTGTGACTACAAAATAAGATTGCATGCTTTCAGCAAAAATGGAGCTCCATTGTTAAA